CATGCCATTATGTTATTTATATCATTTTGAAGGCTTATTGAATCATTAGGATTTTTTATAATATTTATTATTTTACTATCATCAGCGTAAAGTTTAATAGGGTTTTTGACTTGATCTGACAAATCATTAATAAAAATCAAAAACAGCAGTGGTCCTAAAACTGACCCCTGTGGTACACCACTAATAACTGGTAGCCAATCTGAGACTGTGTCGCCAAGGACCACTCTCTGTTTTCTGTTAGTTAAAAAGTTCTCTATCCATCCCAGATAATTTCTGAGTGGCCATTTTCTAGTGCATCTGTTATGATATCAAGAGTTTCCAATAGGTTTTATAATTGTTTATGATTTATAATTTTATGTTTATTAAACAATATAAAATTATAAACAATGAAAATAAAAAAATCAGAAATAAAAATAAAATATAATTTAAAAAACACATCACCATACATATCACTATGAATCAGAAAATGCTCGATTGTTACAACCGAAAATGCTCGAATTTATATAGAGTTAAAATTAACATTTAAAACCACATTATAACACATTAACAAATATTCATCAAATGAACTGCAAACCACGCAATCATCCCCAGATGTTCTTGAGCTTTTTCCTTATAGAATTACGAATATTAATTAGTAAAACTATTGAATCTAAAAAAGCTGTTTTATGGCTGACTTGTCTTCCGTGTGAATAAATAAAAGATGGCGTATAACAAAGACGATTTTTTATACTTGTTTTCTTTTTGAAAACTTACTAGGAACTTACTAAGTAATTCGTTTAATCCTGATAAGTACTTAGTAGGAACTTACTAGGATTAGCAGGAACTTCTCAAACGTCATTTCACTAATGGGAAACTTAATAGGTTTAGCCGTATTAAGCGAAAACTTATCAGGATTACCCGTATTAGCAGGAACTTAACAGGATTAGCAGGAAGTTAAACATATTCCTAGTAGTATTAGCGGGTTTTTTTTTCTCGGGAAGAGGCTTGAGATTAATGCTGTCTCTAGTCCATTTTAAGGGTTGAATTTCGTGTTTAAATGCTCTGTGGTAAGACCGTTAAGTTTTCTCGTAGTACCACAATAACGGGGAAAAAATATATAGAACTTGTTATAATTGTCACCAAAGAGTATTTGTATATTGTTACCCTTTTTAAAAGGAATAAATGTCTATTTCTTATACTAAAAAAAAAATTCAACAAAAATTGCATTATCCGTTCTTGTTTCAAAATGTTTAAATTTTAATATCTTTAATTCGTTTATTTGTTTTCTATTTTTTTTTTTCTAAAACTTTAAACATTTAGGTCATTTGGTTCTCTACACTTATGGTACCAATCGTATATATTTGTATAAACACTTTTTACAGACTGCGGAGAGTTCAACTTCTCACATAAATCACAAAAACGTTTTTGCACAATATCTCCAGGTCCACAATCGTGACCTTCATAATCCTCTTTCCATTTTAGAAATTCTAAATACTCAACTTCATTTTGATCGAGTCTTAACAAGTATTCAGCTAAGTGTTTTGCAGATTTAAACTTTTTAGTGTCGATAAATGAATTTGGCGGACCCAGAACGGTGTAATTAGCATCACCCCGTACCACAGGAACAGCATTAGTATTTAGAACTTTTATAAATTTTTCAGTGGCGTAATCAACAGAAAAGCTATTTTCAAAACTAAAATAAAATTTGTATTGACTGCTTATCATATTCATGCAGTTTTCTTCGTCATTTTTTTCACATTTGTTATTTTGTCCAAATAAAGCTGAGCATTTGCCAAATATATCTACGGGTATGTACTTTAACAACTCATTCATGTATTGGTTTCGTTGACTCTGCGAATTGCAATTACTTACCATCCAAGCTGCCAATTTCTTTTTTTTTCCCATAATATCTTTTTTAAGTAAATTTACTTTGCTATTGCGCTTTTTGCATGTGTGTACGTAAGGAATTGGTATGTCAGAGTCTAATCTATATGTCATCGTCCAATTAAAAAGTGAATTCCATTGTCGAAGAGATTTAAAGTTATGTAAACATGGCGCTTCATGCATTAAAAACACCCATCGTTGATTGACAGGTTTTAATTTCGGCCTGGAGTTAAGCTTGCCAGATATATGAAAAATAACTGCATCAGCATCTAAGGTTAAATCGCGATTCGTTGTTATAAAGCAATTTTGAACGCGACATTCTAATTCTTTAAAATCGTAGTTAGTGCTCCTTGGAAACCCCCAGTTTTCTTTGCCAAACAAATCATTCCATAATAAAATAGATTTTAAGGAAAACCTGTTAAAGCTGTTTACAGGCTTTTCTGGTAAAATAATCACTTCTTCTAAATTTGTGCTCAATTCATAGATGCAAAGTGCGGCAAGAAAAAGTAACAAAAAAGTAAATACTACGTATTTTTTTCTCATTCTTATTTAATTCTTCTTCTTTATGTTCGTACGCAAACGTTACTAATCATTTACTGTTCAACATAAAAAAAATTGATCGTGTTTCATTCTAAATAAAGAAATCAAATGCTGCTACTTTTAACAATAATAAAAATTAATTCATTTATAAGCGTATAGTTATAGCCACGTATATAAGCATTCATTGGTGTTAAAATACGTTCTATTAGATATTTTCTTAATTCAGCGTGAATTAAAAATTTGAATTAAAAATGGCCATGCAAACATAAAAAAAATTTAATTTCCATTTAACAATTTGTAGCATTTTACAAATACTATGATGGAATTGTAAAAAAAATATTAAAAATTTAAAATATTTTTGATTCAAGCGGTTGTTATAGAAAAAGTATATACTATCTGTATTTCATTTATTTGTCCAAAGCCTTTTATTTCGAAAACCACAAATATACTGCTAAATAAACTTGACCAATAACAGAAAATTTACTTTAGTTTAAAGGCTATTTGAAAAACAGAAAGTAACTCTAGGGTTCAAAAGAAACAATTAATTCTATTAATTTTGGGTTGTGGAGGTCTAGTTTGTACTCGGTCACGCTCTAGCCTATACCTTGGGAACAACAAACCTAATAGTTTGAACACTTTTAGAGTAACCTTTATAACCAATTTTATTTGTTTTTTTAATTGCTATATAGTCACATAAAAAACAACGCTTATTGAAATTTCTAACAATTTGATACAAGTAAGCCAATAACCGATAATTTTATCAAATTGTTAAAAATGAAACTTATGATTATAATATATGCAAATTTTATTTTATAAGCTAAATAAACTAAAAATTTTATTTTATAAGCTAAATGAACTAAAAATTTTATTTTATAAGCTAAATAAACTAAAAAGCACAAAATCTTGTAAATAATTTACTAAGAATGTTGTAAATAGATGCTCAAACTTTAAAAAATTTTGTCAAAACATAAAATAAAAAAAATAACGGTGCTATTTATACACACAGGCGAAACATAAAACTATAAAAAAGCTTTTATTTCTGCAAAGGAACATGCAAGTTAAAATTGTAATGAAGAAATTAGTTGAAGCTAATTCAGCAGAACTTTGCGAACCTGCGTGTACTTAGACCTTTAAGAATTTATTTAGACTCAAGCTTTAAACTTGAACGGAACTAAGCTAAAAATGTCGCTAAAATGTTTGATAGTTTTCTAATTAAATACTTCACAAGATTTTCAGAGAATAACTTCGTTCTTTTCAAGTATAATTTGAAATTAAGATCATACTCAATTAAATATTGTGGGACTTAACTCGTATGACTCAACTCAGTACTCAACGAACTAATTATATATATAACAAATAATTTTTTTATTATTATTAATTAAAAATTTCTCCTGAAAATAAAAAATTATTAGATTTGACATTTTTTTTAAAAAATGTTAAACCTAATTTTTCCAGATAATCACTTTATTTCCAATCAAACCACTTTGAAACCATATTTCATTGACTAAGTTTGTGATATTTAATTTGATTTACTTTTAATCAAGTAATTAATTCACTAAATAGTATATGCTCAACATATTATTCGAACTTCAAGTTCTAAAATGATTTCATTGTAAAGATGGATTTTAAAAAACTGAGAATGTTGTGAAAATAATAGTTATGAAATTTAGTTACATAAAAAAATAATATACTGTCTATTAACTTTTACATTGAAAAAAAAAAAAAAAGTTTAGGGAAAAAAATAATATGTTTTTTTTCAAACAAGACATTAATTTAACAATATTATTAGTTATTTAAAACCCATCCTTAAAATGACTTTTATTATAGAACAATTTGTGTTGACCGAATATCAAAACATTTTAGGGCACATAGATAATTAACAATTGCTGGACCGGCCCAACGGGATACCGGAAATATCCTGGTGGGCTTATGGGCCCTATATCGCTGTAGGCCTACTGGCTCACAAATATAGTCAAGTTTTTTTTTTTTATAATCGTTCTCTTCATCACTTTATTACAACTTTACATCAAATTTTTTTATTTCTTGTTGTCTGAACGACCCGTTACTTGGTCCAATTAAAACAATAATGTCAATGATTGGTTAACGGAAGTTTATTTATCAATATATATATATTAAATTACGTAATTTTTTTAACGCTTTCAATTATTTAAAACTTTATAATAAATTGAATTACACTTTAAGTTTTAAACACGTGAATTTTGCTTAAAATATAGCAACAATACATAAGTTTATAACTAATCACCAGTGGCCAGCATTTTTTAGTCTTTGAGATAGCTAACTTCCAGACATGGTGCAAACTCCAAACATTTATAAGTTTATACTTATGTAAAATAAGGATGCTTTGCAAAAAATTACGATGATTGGAGTTTGGGAACAAAAAAATATATATATATATATATATATATATATATATATATATATATATATATATATATATATATATATATATATATATATATATATATATATATATATATATATTAAGCAGGACTGTCCCGAGGGAGACATAGGGGGTGTCTAGCTCCCCAACGAATTTAATTAGTCGGCAAACTGGAACTAGAGTCGGCAAAATTAAATCTATAGTTACCAATTCGCGAATTTCGGAAAACGAGGACAATAAAAAAAAGATAAGTTAGCGGGCAAAAAATTTTTTTTGGCTTTACTCAGCAAAAAACAGACACGTTACCCTCCCCCCCCCCCCCCCTCCTCCAGATTTTATCCAGGTTGTAAAAAAATTTTCAATATTGAAAAAAATGTTTTTTTAATAAAAAGCAATAAATAAGATTTAATATTTGTTTTTTTTCATGTTCGTTCAAAAACATTAAGAGTTGCAAAGATCCGAAAACTTAAATTCTCTTCATTACTGAATTTTTTAGATTTTTAATTTCGACGAAAATTTTTTCATGAAAATCCCACACTTAAAAATGCAAATTAAAAAAAAATTAAAATAATTTGAATTGAATCAATTTTGATGAAAAAATGCAAATTAAAAAAAAAATTGAAATAAACATTTTTTTATTAATTAATACTAACTTGTTTCGGTTAAAAAAATTAAATATTAAAAGTGAATTTTTTTTTCAGAAAAGTAAGCAAAATCCTATTTCTGCTTTGCGACGCATAGTGCGCTATTGAATAATAAAAAAAAATGTATAAATAAAACTTATGTTAAAAACGACATTATAAAAATGGACTAAAAAGCAAAAAATAAACTATTTCACGGGACTGAAGGACTTTGTACGTACACAACCAGAAATATCCATGAAAGTGAATGACTGAAAATGTTAGGCAACTAAGTACAACTCGTTCCTATTGGCACCCAACATTTCCAGTCGTTGACTTCAATGGATATTTCAGGTTATGTATGCACACAAACTCGTTGGGTCCCGTAAAATAGTTTATTTTTTACTTTTTAGTACATATTTTTAAAGTTGTTTGCAAACGTTTTTACTATACTTTGTTTTTAATGAAGTTAAATTAAATTTATACATACCCAGAATGTTACAAATTATCAGACATGTTTACATACCTAAGTTTATTAATTAGTTATAAAATATTTATAAAAAATTAAATTTACACATATCCAGAATGTTACAAATTGCTGATTAAAAACAAAACAAACAAAAAAAAGCTTCCTTGTTTTTTGAAACTTGCCGACTACCTAGTTCACATTTGCCGACTTACTGCCTAAATTTGCCGACTGACTTGTCTAAAGTGTCTATATTTGCTGACTGACTTGTCTAATAGGGTCAAATATGCCAACTAAATGCACGAAAAATTTATTGATGGAGGATGCCCCTCCCCAAACACACACACACACGCGCACACAAACACATACGTACAAAAACACACACACCTTCCCTTTGCGCCGGTCTTACTGTTTGGAATTCAAAGTTCTAAAGGTATATTGGAAGCCTCACCAAGTACCTACCAAACTCATGATACCGATTAAATAGTTTTAACTCTTGTATTGCACAACCGCATAAAATCTAAAAATTAATTGATTCGATTAGGGTTTCCAATTGGAATACCCAAAGATCTGAGTATCGGGATAATCCGCATAGTTTTGACAATTCGAAAAACTGGAGTGTTTTCATGGAATATCCCACAATTCGGATACTTTTGATAAAACAAAATATTGCTTTATATTTTGTGCAAATGGCGGGAAACGATAAACATTTCTTTATTTTAATTTTTTTTTATTTCATTTTGTATTTCTATAATAGAAAAAAACGCAATTGAATACTTTTTAAGTAGGGGAGAGGGGGCACGTTGATACACTTTTTACATTTTCTGACATTAAAAGCTAAATGTTATATTTAGAGTGGAAATAATAACTTGTATATGTCCCACTAAGTATCCTGCATACTTTAGTGCCACAATTTTATTGATTAGAACATAATTAAAATAAATACAACACAAAAAGTAAGGTAAAGACTTGTGCATCACCCTGTCCCATGCTGGGGCTGTTTAATACACACATGGGGCAAATTGATACATTTAATAAGACTTGAAAATGAAGCTTTAAAAAACTAATTAATTAATCAAACACAAAAGGTTAGGTACACAAACACAAAAGATTAGGTAAACAGAGAAACAAATACAAAAGATTGAGTAAACAAATACAAAAGACAAAAAACATATATTTATTAGGCCTATTTACATATTTACTATCTCTGCAAGTAAAACAACATTAGTCTACACCAAACAATTTATTTGCATTAATGCAATTACATAAACAAAAATAATTTCGGCCATATTTAAATGCTTTACCAAAGGGGTAAGATGATACAGTGTATCAATTTGCCCCAAGTGGTCTGTATCAACGTGCCCCTTTAGACCGCGTTGCATTAAATTCGAGTTAAATTTTAACAGAAGCAACGAACAAACAAATGACATATGCAAAATCATTTAACAATGTTTTCTTAAACTTATGGAAGGGTTGATCAGCTTAATGTACTTACTTTTTTTGTAAAATCTCTTACGAAACACGTTGTCAGTTTTTTTTAAAAAAACTGACAATATGTTTTGGAGGAGATTTTACAAAAAGGTTGCTTAATTTACAAAATGCTTCTCTGC